TTGTTAATGTAGTCTAGGTGTCAGAGTTCGAGTCCAAGTCACTAGTATTTTGGAGGAAAAAAAGGATAAAGATGAGATCTCTAATGATGGTTTGTGCTTTTGTCATGTCGACTGTTTAAACGGTCCGAGTACCGCATTGTGCGCGTAACAATATATCAGTTGCTTTCAAATCAGTCGTTAGCCACGTTGCAGAAGTCGTTTTTCATGAGACCAAAGAATTCGGTTTTAGAGGTAAAAGTGTTGAATTGTTTCACCATTAGGACATAACAGCAACTGAGGCATTGAGATATTTGCCTACACGGAATGGTATATTTGTGTTTTCACATAATTCTGCCAACGAAAGTGTATCAGTTAACAACCTACCCTGAGTTCTAAGATGGTCAATCTGCCAGTGTCTACTCATTTCAATTTCATTGACAGGAGTTGATCAAAACGAGGTTCCATAAACGAAATCTATTTTTACTCATATTTACGTTTGATGTTTAGCAATGCAGGTAATTGTAGCGTTATTTTTTGTTAGAATTCTGAGTGATTGAGTTGCCCACTTTCTTTTAAGGGGGGGGGGTATGAGAGAAATTTACCAAATATTACAAGGTCTAGTTTTCATGGCTGTGTCTTAGTGTTTTTGTATGCCTTTATAACCACTATATTCAAAGCGTGTTGGTTGTGAACTAATCAATTTATTGATTGGTTGGTCATTCCATTTCGATAAATGTTTATCCTCATTGAGCCTCCTTATTTGCATGGTCAAGTGTATTTATTTTTAATCTTCCCATTGTGATTAATTTTACAAAATTACCGATTCTACTAAATCTGCAAAGTTTACAACTTGTTAGAAATTGAGAATTTTCATCTTTAATGTGCTACCTCGTGGTTTGTCGATACAACGGAGGATCTTTAAGTATTTTCATAAGTGTGGGTTTATATGAGCTCACATGACTCAACTAATTCAATTTCAATTAAATCTCAAAGTAAAACGAGAAGAATCTTCGTTGAAGCAGATTGGTTTAATTTTGTGTTAAATGACTCAAATAGTATTACGAAAGATGTCAATTATATTAATTGGAGACCATGCGAACAATTGGGTAAGTGTTCTAGTGGGAGGTGGGGCGGGGTGAGGTGTGATCGAGTGAAGTCGAAAGGGTAAATAAATTTGTCATTTTATTTACCTTGTCTTTATTAGACTATGGCTGTTAAATGTGCAGTAAAATAAAAAGGTCATTTGTCTTCGCAACCACTTCAAGAAAAAAAATCGATTGGAGCTGCAAGACCGAGTCTCCTTAATTAAACAAACCCGAAAATCATTGACAACCATTTGCAGCAATCCATCAGGATGAACTATGAAATTTATTTAAATAATATGAACCGGCCATTTAGTAAATATTGTCCAAATCGAGTCCAAAATCGAAATGAATTAAGACTCTTTTACACCCTGGCATTGGCAGTTAAAGTTGTAATTATCTATTCCTAGTTACTTACAAAGTTAAAATTGTAATCGTTTGTTCTAATCGGGGTGATAATTTTAGAAGAAGAAGAAAACATTTTCCCCATTTAAATTCTACCATCTTTAGACTAAAATAGGTGAGGCCCTAAGTTTGAAGACATTAATTTGTGATTGAAGAAAACTGCACTAACAGAGCTGTCATATGACTGGAATGAATACATAGTGGGGGACCGTATCCATGTAATCGGAGAGTTGAACTTAAGCTTAAGTGGGAAAGCAAACCTCAATATCAGGAGCTGGCTCATTGCACTTCCACCAAAGTGGACTTGACCGTTAAATAAGAAATTCTGAAGCTGGGAGTAACAACTAAGAGTTGGTTTCAAGGTCCCTATTTTCAGACATTTATCTTAACTCTGATCCATTACCATGTGGGACACGCTATCGCTGTGTGCGTGCCAGGATTGGGAGGTGCGGCCGTACAACTCTGTGTGCAGGGACCGTACGATTGGGAGGTGCGGCCGTACAACTCTGTGTGCAGCGACCACAACTCTGTGTGCAGCGACCGTACAAACAGTGGCCAATCACTAGCCTCTGTTTGTTTGTTGGGAGGTGCGACCGTACAAACAGTGACCAATCCTTAACATCTGTTTGTTTAACCTATACCCCAATCCTATCATGAGTAGCTCCCTGCGTGTACACTTTATCCGCAATATACTGACTGAATAAACGTGCGCCGAGCTACACGTCTGTTGTCCGTACTGAATAAGCGTGCTCCGTGCTACACGTCTGTTTTCCCGTATCGAATAAACGTATTCCTTGCTACACGTCTGTTTTCCGCTACTGAATAAATGTTCCGTGCTACACGTCTGTATCCTCTGTAGAATAAACGTGCTCCGTGCTAAACATCTGTTTCCTTTATATGCAATATACGTACCGAATAAACGCATTTCGTGCTACACGTCAGTTTCCCTTATAGCTGGACTATGGCTTAGCTTGTTCTGGGAGTCTAGCTAGATGTTGGAGAATTCTCCGTGCTACTCGTCTGTTTCCTTTATAGCTGGGCTATGGTTTAGCTGGTTCTGGGAGTCTAGCTAGATGTAGGAGAATCTCCCTGGTTCTGGGAGTCTAGCTAGACGTTGGAGAATCTGCCGTTCTGGGAGTCTAGCTAGATGTAGGAGAATCTGCCACAGATATAAACGCGCTCCGTGCTACACGTCTGTTTTCTTTATAGCTGAGCTATAGCTTAGCTGTTCTCTAGCTAGAGGTTGGAGAATCTGCCATAGAGATTTCTGATTCCTAGCTAGATGTTGGAGAATCTGCCATAGAAATTTCTGAGCCGGTAGCTAGATGTTTGAGAATCTGCCATGGAGATTTCTGAGTCGGTCTAGCTAGATGTTGGGGAATCTGCCATAGAGATTTCTAAGTCAGTCAGGCTTTACTTAGGGTGAGTCGGTCAGGCTTTACTAAGGTAGCAATCCGCTACAACCATGCCTTGACTTCCCTTTTGACTCCAAATAGGGACATACTAAATCAATCCTTGTATCCGCATGTGCTATTTTAAAATTTGATTTGGTTGAGCTCAAAATGTTGAGCATTTTTTTACAATTCCAATTTCGAGTATGAAATCAATCTAATCACACTTTACTCCTTGCGAGAATAAGGTAGTAACTTAAAATAGTATTTTAATGAGAAATGAATCATAATGCAAAAGGAAGTCTCCATTTTATTCCTTTTAAAAACCGGAAGACAATCTGTCCACTTTCTTAAGGCTCATTCCTGTATAATCGTGAATATTTTGCTATATATATGCACAAATCCAACATTTACTGGATTAATTGATCGGCTATGCTTATTCTGTGTTAAGGGAATGTAGACACTATGCTTACAAAGTCCCTTTTTATTTTCAACGACACGCTAAATCTCCCCACAATGTTCTTTGTGATCGCTAAAAGAAATCTCGAAGCGTATGCTGTGAGACAGGGGACCACTCGATTTAACTCTGTTCTTCCTTCAACTGGCTAAACGAATTCCTAAATTTTGAAAGCAGGTGTTATCGATGGTCTCAGCTGTTGATCTAGGTTCTATTCGATTATTTTATTTAACTAATATCAGTAGTTAAAATCACCCTATCCCTTTGAAAAATTTCTCAAGGTCATTATCATGCCAGATTCAAGGATTCATTCTAGCCTTGTCACATCTCCTCAGTATCTTACAGTTAAGCTCAATTTCAGGTCCACTAAGCATCGCTCAAGAGAAGGAGCCAAATTCTTTCAACAGCTTTAGTGCGAAAACTGCCACAAAAGCTTCTAATCCCATTTTATCATCTCCCTTCAACATTCCAATTCACAAGACCACTGCTGATGAATACTTTGAAAGTCGAGATAAAGAGAAGAAGACCCCAGCCATTTTCCCAGCGGAAACTACTGCAACAGTTGAGGCTCTACTCGAACCAGAAAAAAATGAAGTTGGGGCTATCCACAGTGAGTCATCCACAGTCGTGGAGAAAACCACTTCCAAACTTTCGACCATACTTGCTGCTCATAAGGATCTGGTGGATTTGGATAACATCGTCACTGTACAAAAACGTGAGTTCTTGTCAGCACTCATCCACAATGGTTACGTAAAATGACTTAGATTGCTTAGTAATGGGAAATGCTAGCTTCTAATGTTTCCCGGTGGCTTTTTTTCAATATAGAGACGTCATTAATTGTCGGATATATTTTGAGATACGTGTCATTTTCAGTTCAAAATTTCTCTAATTTGGTCAGTTTTTTCCCGGTGTCACTCATCTTGCATCTGCTTTGATTTGAGTTAATCTGCTGGTGAAAGCAAATGTGCACCTTGATTAAACATAATTTAGGAGATTTAATGGTGGTAAGCACCCATAACTTAAATTAAATAAAATTGTAAGCCAATATTAAGACTTATAATTGCTCCTATTTTCGCATTATTAATCACGTTTGTGTTTTAAATGTTTA